ACAGAGCCCCAACAGACAGAGGGAGGCAAGAGAATGAAGCAGGGCTTTTCCTACAAGATGTTTTCAAGGGGTAGGAAAAGGGCTCTAAAAAACACTTTTCTGTTGGGCGGTGGTGAGGTGAATCTCTTTGTGAGTTCAAGGCCAGTCTGGTCTACAAGCGCTAGTTCCAGATAGCTAGGATGTTACACAGAGAAACCCTGTCTCGAAAAACAAAACAAAACAAACAAACAAAACCCACTTTTCCCTTCTAGGCCCACAACATATAATTCTTTCCCTGACCTAGCTAAGGGCCCAAGGTTTTTTGGTTTTTTTTTTCCTCTTTTCACAACTGTTTCCTCTTCACCAAACCACTGCCAAAAACAAAACAACAACAAAAAAATCAAAATCCTAAAATTATCCTCAAAGCAAGATGTCCCAAGGTAACTCTGACTCACCTGCCTACAGCCCACAGTCTATCAAGCCACTGCCATAGTCATCGAGACTTGTTTTTCCCCCAGACAGAGTCTTACATAACAGAACTATTCTCAAACTCACTACGGAGCTAAGGATGATCTTGAACTCCTCCTCCAGCTTCACCTCAGTGCTGGGATTATGGGTGGGGAGACCCACACTAGCTCTTTGCTTTTTTGTCTGTAATATGTATTTTTATTTTTGTGTGTCTGTGTGTATGGTCTGTGTGTGCAGGTGTGTCATTACCTCCTGCAACTGGTGTTACTGATGTTTGAGAGCCAATCAGTCTGGGTGCTAGGATCTGAGCTTGGGTCCTCTGAAAGAACAGTACTCTGAACCACGGAGCCCTCTCTCCTATTTTTTTTTTTTTGTTGTTTTTGTTTTTGTTTGAAGGGATGGGTGTTTTTATTTTTGAAGACAGGGTCTCTTTAAATAGCCTTGGCTATCCTGGAGTTCTCTATGTACACCAAGCTGACTCACAGAAATCCACCTGTCTCTGCTTCCAGAGTCCTGGGATTAAAGGCATGTGTCACCATGCCCAGCTTAGAGGTTTTTTTTTTTTTAAAAAAAAATGCTGAGATTACATCAATGAACCATTTGCTCAACTCTGATAAAAGTTTATCTATCTCATCTTATTGCATTATATTTTAATTCTCTCAGCACCCACGGCAAATTATTATTGAAGAGGCAAATTTGCTGTATCCTGTCTTCTGGCCAGCAAACCATAAACAAATTAATAAAATGAAAAACTTTCTTCTCAAAGGATCTCAGCCCCCTATAGAAGGAAATCCATATTCATCATGCTCAACAAAGCCTATGTGACCTCGCTTCTGCTGCCATTCAACAGACGTTATTCAGAAAGTGGAGGCGGCAAACATAGTCTGTGGCACCCCAGCCCGTTCACACCTACATGTGTGACCCTGAAGGGGTCTCCTTCCAACTCACAGCCGACCAATCCCTGCCTACTGTTGAATTTTCCATAAGAACAAAGAATTCTGGAGAAACCAGTTCTCAGACTGGCAGGACTGTCCAGGCCTATGTTGCTGGAGCCCAGAACATAACAAGAGTTCATCAATGTTGTGGTCTGTGCTAGGGACTGAGGACTGGTCTCTTTTTGCCCTCTTCCAAGGAGATTAAGAGTACAACCCAAGGCTACGAATGTAGTTCAGTTAGTCATGTGCTTGCCTAGTGCACTTGAGGCCCTTGGTTTGATTCCCTAGTACCATATAAGCCAGGCACAGTGGTGTATGCCTACAACCCTGGCACTTGAGAGGTGGAGGCAGGAGGAATAAAAATTCAAAGTCATTGGGTGGTGGCAGTGCACGCCTCAGCACTTGGGGAGACAGAGGCAGGTGAATCTCTGTGAGTTTGAGGCCAGCTTGGTCTACATAGTGAGTTCCCAGGACAGGCAGGATTACACAGTGAAACCCTGTCTCATAAAACCAAGAAAAAAAAAGTTCCAAGTCATCTTTTCTTTGAGGACAACATAGGGTGCTACAAGAGACTCTCAGGAACAAAATTACAAAATGAGATCTGGTTGTCCCAGCTGTGCCCTTGGGCCAGGTACTGTCTCTCCACAGTGCTATTTCCTCCTTGGAGGATGGTCTGCTACAGAATCAAGAAGAGCATGCTGGCAAAGCATGTTGGGCAGGCACATTCCAGGTGAGCCAAGTGGCTTGTGATATCTCCTGACCACGGAATGAGTGGAGAGGTGAAGACCTCCTCCAGAGTATGTGAGAGGTGAACTCTGTCCCCAGGGAGGTGTGAAGTTTCAAGCTTAGGATTTGTGAAAGATTTAAAAAAAAAAATTCCAGCCGGGTGGTAGTGGTGCACGCCTTTAATCCCAGCACTTGGGAGGCAGAGGCAGGAGGATCTCTATGAGTTCAAGGCCAGTCTGGTCTGCAAGAGCTAGTTCCAGGACAGGCTCTAAAAAAAACTACAGTGAAGCCCTGTCTCAAAAAACAAAAATAAATAAATAAATTCCATAGCCCTTCCCCAACTCTGAGAAAGTCTAGTCTGGGAGAAGAGAACAAGGCTACCAGGGAGAAAAAAGGGGTAGTGTTTCCCAAATCTCACCTTCAGTGTCAACAGCAGCTGGATGGCATTGGTGAACGGCGTGGGAGTGGGCAGGCCCAGCAGGCTGAGGGCTCGGAAGAAGAGGAGATAGGAGAAGGTCCAGGCAAGAGCCAGGGCATGACAGGAGCTAGGACAGAGGTGGGAAGTTATAGAGTTGGGTACAGGGACCTTGGCCCTGCTTCCTTCTTCTGAGTGTGGCTTTATACCCCACCTTTCCCCCATCCAGCCAGAAAAAAAGAGGGGAGAGAGTGAGGACCAGTGGATCGCAGGCAGGAACAGAAGAGGCACAGCCACAGAGAAAAAAAGAATGAGGGAGTCAAGAGAGAAGCTTTGTGGTGAAAGAAGAGAGCCGGCCCTCCTTAAGCGCCAGAGCGCAGGACTGGGTTACAAATGACTGTCATCATGTGGACATTGAGGACTGGGGCAAATCTGCAGGGACAAGAAGGTGCAGAGCAAGGTGAGAGAGGAAGAAACATGGCCAAGACATAGAGAAACATGAGAGAAACAGGAGGCAGCAAGAGACTGAAGGAAGAAATGGAAGACCCAAAGAGGAAACAGGTTGCTGTTTCTCTGCATCTTTCTTTCTCACCACCTAGCTCTCACCAAGGCTGGGCCTGAATGAGGGCCCAGGTTCCCAAGATGGTGATCAGAGAATGCAAAGTGTGGGGGCCACAGGTGAATAAAGTGAGCCCCAGGCCCACAGCTGCTGCCCCCCATTTCTTCAGCCCAGGTCCTGAAAGGAAAAGGTAAAGTGTAAGCATAGAACTTTCGGGAGGGGTGATCCCCACCTCAGCTCCCTCACCCTAATTTTCCACCAGGCACGGAACCTGACTCACCAGCTTTCTTAAAGAGGAAGCCGATAGGGATGGAGATAAGCAGGACCACAAGATAGGTCCATTCTTCGGGTGTCATGGTCTGGGGGAGGAAGGGTTCACAGTGAGAACTAGTATTCCAGTCCTTCCTCTTTTGATAGTAGAATCCCCTACTTTTGAGAAACCAGGCCTCCAGTTCACTCCTCCTTCCAGGACCCAGGAATCAAACCCTCACCCCAATCCTCTGCCAACGTACAAATCAAAAGCATTTCTGCCCCTATTTAAGACCTAGACATCTAGACACCTTTTGGCCCGGAAAACAATCCTTTGCAAGACCCTTCCTTTCTGATAAACGAGGAACCCACATCACCCCCACCCTCCTCTGAGTACACAGGAACCCTTAAGAATCCTGTCTGGATCCCCAGACTCCCCTATGTCTCAGGGGACCCAAAAATCCAGGACTCCTACCCCTACCCATCCCGGCGGAACCCAGCATTTAGCATCCACCTGTCTGCAGAGCTCTGGCCTCCTCTCCAATCCGGACCCCGGAGAGAAGGCAATGACCCTGTCTGATCTGCAGCTCCCTCTGTAGCCCAGCCCCGCGTGGATCCGATTCCGCCCCAGCATATCCACAGGCGGTTACGCCACCCAGCCGGGACACGCTCTGGTCGCTGTCCCCGCACCCAGCCACCTTACGATTTTCAGCGACGCCTCCATACAACCCCACCTCGGCCCACCTGAACCGTCCGTGGACCAGAAGGCTGATGAGAAAAACCCTCTTTCGCGACCGCCCCTGCTCGGGCCACGCCTCCCCAGCTCAGCACGCCCCCGCACTGCCGGTTCCCGAGGGTGCCCGCTGGGCTGCGCCGTCCAGGCCCAGAGAGCGGATGCAATACGTGTACAGCACGGTGATAAAAGAACCCAGAACACTAACACGCGGAAGGATGCCTGCCCCGTTCTTTCTGCGAGGCCCTAGGGCAAAGAGCTGCCAGTACGTGGGGGGGCGGGGTTTCGGGTCAGAGGCGGGGCGAAAGCTTCGAGTCCTGATGAAAACGGGTTGTGACTTAAGAAGGAGGCGGGACCTGGAGCGCGGCGTTCGGAAAGAGGAGGACCCTCAGCTTCGGATTCTTTCGGGTACACTCGGTAATTCAAGCTCACGGAGTGGAGGTGGGGCCACAAACTTCGGCTTACTTCGGAGATAGGCGAGTTCTTAGGGTCACGGTTCGGAATTAGAAGCGTTCACAAACTCGGCCGGATGTAGGCGGGTCCACACGCTTCGGCGTGATTCGGAGATAATCGGTTCCAAAAGTTGCTGATTAGTGTTAGGCAGGCTCACAAACGCAGCTCGATGTGGGCGGGGCCACACACTTCGGCTTACTTCGGAAATAGTCGGAATCAGGCGGGTGTTGTGTGTCAAAGAACAGCAGGATGTAGGCGGGGCCAAATGTCTGGACTAATTTCGGATAATTGAGTACGTTTTAGGTCACTGTCAAATGCCAGTGAGGCCAGAGGCTTTGTCTGAACTTTGGAAATAATCAGGGGTAAGTGGACTTAGTGTAATAACAAGCGGAGCCAACAGCTTCTCGAAATATCTAGCCTTATTTGGGGGGAGGAGGAAGGCGGAGCCATAGCAGACCGGAAAAGGCGATACGCAAGATCATTTATACCGGGGCGGGGCCTACAAGACTCGGTAGGCACGGGGGTAGGCCCAACAGCGGTGACCCTCAAGGTCCCACATTTGGAGACCCTGCGACCGTGAGAGCTCGCCTCAGGTTTTCAGCTCTGCTAACGTGACGGGATGACGGGGACGCGCTACGTAGTGTCGGCTCCGCCTCTACTGAGACTGTTGGCTAGGAGTTGACTTACGGGCTCTGACCAAAGACAGTGCGACAGAGTGAAGAGAAGTTAAGACGTGCACTGCGTCCAGAATTCAATCGTGGGCGACAACTCCCCAAATTGGGTAGGGAGTGGGCAGGGTCACAGCTGAAGGATTGACGGGATTTGGTTAGGTTCGAATGCCGAACCTCTTGCGACTTGGAAGGGGTGGCTGATTCGACAGAGCCGAGCACTCCCGAATGCGTTCGGTAGTAGAGCCGAGATCACCGGAAGGCTGACCCTCTTGTGTTTAGGGTGGGCAGGGCTCCGGATTGAGCCGAACCGAGGATTCTGGAACATCGAACCGCTTGCGCAAGACAGGACTGGGTTCTTTAAAGTCCTACTAAGTGAATAGGCGGGAAAGGCGAACCTCGGAAATTCGACATGGGAGGGTCTGGGCTCCAAGTTTCTAAAAGAGGGTGTGGCTTGAGCAAACCGCCACTCTACGTTGAGGTTCGAGACTTGATGGACACACCCGAAAGAAGACACCCACTTTGCGAAAAGGGCGGTGCACCGCTATGGCGGGAGGAGACGTGATGCGGTGGCACGCATTGGCCGAGATTATGGTCACCAGGAACTGAGGGGGAGCAGAACAGAGGGACCTGGGCGAGGGGCGTGGTCTCGAACGGCCCTTCCGGGTGGGGCTTGGCCTGGGGCGCAGGTGGCAACCCCGGTCCCGCCCTCTCGGGTTCAGAGGCGGACCTTGCTTGCACTGGGGGCGTAGAAGGCTTCAGTCGGGGCTGCGGGGCTGTTTGGGTGACCGACACCCCCACTTTGCAGGAGGATGCTGGTGGTGGAGGTTGCTAATGGCCGCTCGCTGGTGTGGGGAGCTGAGGCCGTGCAGGCGCTGCGGGAGCGCCTGGGAGTCGGGGGCCGCACGGTGGGCGCCCTGCCCCGCGGGCCCCGCCAGAACTCGCGCCTGGGCCTCCCGCTTCTGCTGTTGCCGGAGGAAGCCCGGCTCCTGGCCGAGATAGGCGCCGTGACGCTCGTCAGCGCCCCGCGTCCGGATCCCCGCAACCATGGCTTGGTAAGAAGCGAAAAGGCCCTTGTGTTGGGAAAGCCTGGGATGGCCTGTTTTGGAAGGTCGCTGTTGGAAGGTTGTAAACAGGGTCAGGATGCCTGTCTTCCTAAGGGACCGCAGGCTATGTCTTGGGGTTCCAGTTAAGTTTATTTCTCAGGCCCTAGCATCGTTCAAACGCCAGCAAGAGCAGAGTTTCCAGGAGCAAAGCACTTTGGCAGCCGAGGCCCGTGAGACCCGGCGTCAGGAGCTCCTAGAGAAGATCGTAGAGGGCCAGGCTGCCAAGAAGCAGAAGCTGGAACAGGATTCAGGGGCGGATGAAGGCCAAGAAGCCAGTGGAAGCGAAGCTACCCAAGGGAGTGAAACCAGTGATGATGGCCAGGCTTCTGCGGAGCAGGAGGGAGCAGGTGAGAGTAGTTTTTGGAGTTCAGATTTGGGGCAGGAGAGAAGGAAGCTTTGAGGAATTTTAATTGAGTTTTTTTTGAGGGGATAAGGATACCTTGCCTTGTGAGTTCAGTAATTCTCTATACCTTCCTCCAGACTCGTCATCTCCCCCAGACTCTTCATCTCCCCAACCAGGGCCTTCAAACGGGGTGACCCCCTTGCCCAGGTCAGCCCTGCTCATCCAGCTGGCCACTGCCAGGCCTCGACCGGTAAAGGCTAAGCCTCTGGACTGGCGTGTGCAGTCCAAAGACTGGCCCCATGCCGGCCGCCCTGCCCATGAGCTGCGCTACAGCATCTACCGAGACCTGTGGGAGAGAGGCTTCTTCCTCAGCGCAGCTGGGAAGTTTGGTGGTGACTTCCTGGTCTATCCTGGTGAGTTCAGGTTGGGGCTCTAGTGGCTGTACCTTTCCTACTGGTCTTTATTTATTCTGCACTTTCTCTTTTGTCTACACCCTGGGGACTCAACACCCTGGAGACTCAGGGAAGGACAGCGGATAATGAGAGAGTTTCGTGAGCTCCTGGAGAGTAGTTTAATAACTTGTTTGGTTTGAGTCAGGGTCACATTAGGTCGTCAAGACTAGCTTGGAATTTGCTATGCTGCACAAGCTAGCCTTGGAATGCAAAGTCTTCCTTTCCCTGCTTCCCAAGTACTGAGATTACAGGCTTGTGTCACAGCAGCTGTCTTGGTTTAGTAACTCTTGATAAATGTATATATTGGTTTAGAAATCCTTTCAAATGTGCGCAAAAGATATGAGTGCATGCGCTGCAGAATTCTTTATAGAATTGAAAGATTAAAAGCAGCAAAGTCACTAGTAAGGGCAAAACATAAAAATTAAAACGAGGGAGGTGGTTCTTTCTTTTAATCCCAGCACTGGGGAGGCAGAGGCAGGTGCATCTCTGAGTTCCAGGCAATAGCACCAGGTGATGATGGTGCACGTCTTTAATCCCCACACTCGGGAGGCAGAGACAAGTGGATCTTTGTGAGTTCGAGGTCAGCCTGGTCTACAAGGTGAGTTACAGGACTGGCTCTATAGCTACTGAGAAACCCTGTCTTGAAAAACAACAACAACAACAAAGCAACCCATTTGTCTGAGAACATAGTATTACTTTTCTTTTTTTTAAAAAAGATTTATCTTATTTTTTAAAATATTTATTTATTATGTATACAATATTCTGTCTATGTGTATGCCTGCAGGCTAGAAGAGGGCACCAAACCTCATTACAGATGGTTGTGAGCCACCATGTGGTTGCTGGGAATTGAACTCAGAACCTTTGGAAGAGCAGGCAATGCTCTTAACTGCTGAGCCATCTCTCCAGCCCCCATAGTATTACTTTTCAAAGAATTAATGTATAAGATTGTAGTTGGGTATGGTGGTGCAGTGCATGTCTCTAGTGATAACTGAAGGCATAGCTAGTTTGAGGCGAGCTTTGACTGCATGATAACCCATCTCAAGAAAGAAAAGAAAAATGGGGTGTGATGACTATACTTATAATCTTAGCACTTTAGAATTTGAGACAAGAGGATTGCCACAAGTTTGAGACCTGTATAGGCTATATAGTGAGTTCAGACAACCAGAGCTGGGTATCAAGACCCTATCTGAAAAAACGGTATAGGATCATGTATGTGAAAAATATAATCAAAAGTGAAAAAAATGGCAGGTAATTGTAAATGTATGATAGATTGTATGTTGATATGGATATTCAGATGCCTGCATGGCATTTAAGTAGCCTTAGTCATTGACATTCTAGCTAGGTCTCAGTATGCCTGTATCCCCAGCTGCTTGGGAAACTGAAGCATAATTTCTTTGTCCTGATATTAAAAAACCAACCTATGCAACATAGTGAGGCTCATATTTGTAGATAAAACTACTGCGGCCTAAAATTACTAGTTTAAATCAGTTAATTTCAAGATGTTTTTTTGTTTGTTTTGTTTTTTTGAAATGGGGTTTCTCTGTAGCTTTGGAGCCTGTCTTAGAGCTAGCTCTTGTAGACCAGGCTGGCCCTGAACTGACAGAGCTTGAACTTGTAGATATCCCTCTGCCTCTGCCTCCCAAGTGCTGGGGTTAAAGGCATGCGCCACCACCGTCCAGCAGTTGCCTAATTCTATACCTTGTTTGTTTATTTTTGAGATAGGGACTTTGTAACTCTGGCTGGTCCAGAACTTGCTATGTAGACCTGAGTAGACTCGAACTCACAGGCCTCTGTCTCCCGTCTCCCAAGTGTTCAGATTAAAGGCTTGTGCCACCATGTCTGGCAATCTTAAAATTTTTTTAAGATAAGGTCTACTATGTAACTCTGGCTCACCTCAGACTCACGGAGATCCACCTGTCTGTCTCCAGAGTGCTGGGATCAAAGGCATCTGCTACCACACCAGGACTTCATGCAAAGTCTCACTATTGAATCGCAAGCTGGTGTCCAGTTTACCACATGACACAGTTGGAAGCAATCTTCTTGCTGTTGGCCTCCTGAGAGCTAGGATGACAAATGTGTGCCACCACATCCCGCTCTAATTCTGTGCATTAAACTAAACCATAAGCTAAACTATTTGTCCTCTTCTTTTTTTCCTATAACAGAGTGATCCTGACTGTCCTCGAACATGGGAGTGCTGAGGTGATTACAATGCATAAGCATTCAGGCCTGGCACTGACCAATTAGTTCTAATATATCAATATTTCTAAAACAGTGAGTACTCAGTATACTGGACGCTGAAAGAATCCTTGTTGCCGATGAAATAGTGTCCAAAGCCTCGATCACTGTAATGCTTATAAATTTAGTTTTAGATTTTGCCTGAGGCTCAAAATTGCTAAGCGACCAGGAAAACAGCTAGAGGATTAGTTTCTCAAGCATTTTGCTGTACCCTCTCAGCCGATTGGAGTCTTTTAAATTCCAGAGACTCTCACTTTTGGCTAGAGTCTTGCCAGGAACCCATCTGCCAGGCAGGGACATAGCAACAGTCTCCTTAGAATGCTTCACAGTCTCATGGTTTAGATTCTCACCTCCTCCCCCCCTTAAAGATTGTTGGGTTTGTTTTTTGGTTTTACGTGTGTGGGTGCACAGGGAGATGGAAGATGGCATCGGATTCTCCTGGAGCTGGAGTTACAGGCAGTTGGGAAGTCGATGTGAGTGCGAGGAACTGAACTCTGGTCCTCTGGAAGAGTGGTAGATTAGTTGCTGAGCCATCTCTCCTGCTCTCCATTTTTAATTTCCATTGCCTGTGACTCACCCTCTTGTATAGTCTTACTCAGGTTCCTGTCCTGCTCACTTAGATTCACCTGTTCCAGGGACAGACTGTCAGCTGTTCAGTGGCCAAGCCCTCCGACAGCCTCTGCTTCCATAGCATGTGGCTGCAGTGCTGCGCTGGCGGAGCCGAGAATTTGCAACAAGGTCTACAAAACTAACCTGTGTTTACCGTCTGGCACTTCTTTGTGGGGAAATCCTATTGATAATTTAGTTGTGTTTCTTTTTTCTTTTTTTCCTTTTTCTTTCTTTCTTTTTTTTCTTCCGATACAGGGTTTCACTGTAGCCTTGGCTATCCTGGAACTTGCTCTGTAGACCAGACTGACCTGGAACTCAAAGACCTCCACTTGTTTCTGCCTCCCGAGTGCTGGGATTGGCATAGGATTTTGATTTTTGCTTTATTCTACTATAAATCTTTTCTTCTTTAGTCTATTAGAGTCTCGGCCAGGTCCTGTTAATGTTTTGTGGTTGCACTAGAGATCAAACCTTGCCTATGCTCCATAAGTGGTCTGCTAAGAGCTACATCCCAGCACTTGTGACTTATCTTTCAATCTTGACTTGCTTTCTTTTGTTTCTTTTTCATCTTTTGTTTTGGTAAAAATGTCTGTATGGTACCCAGGTTGGCCTTGAACTCCTAAGCTCAAAGAGTCTCCTGACCTAAGCCTTCTCTGTGCTTGAGATTACAAGCCTGTCTCACCATATCTTTTAATCGTGATAGCTGCGTATTGTTTAGTCTTACAGGTGTACCTTGTACCACGGAAGTAATCATTCTTTGCTTTCTCTTCTGTGTCTTGGCAATTATGAGCCATCTTGGGCCATTAAAGTCAACCTGGGCCACATGAAACAGCTGTCTCAGAAAAAAATGGAAAAAGAGGGCTGGAGAGATGGCTCAATGGTGTTCTTGTAGAGAACCCAGATCTTGTCCCCAGCACTCACATGGTGGCTCAAAACCACCTCTAACCCCAGTTCTATGGGACCTAATGCCCTCTTCTGGCATAGGCAGGTACCAGGCACATGCATGGTACACATACACACATGCAGGCAAGCAAACACTCATATACTTTAAATAAATAAATAAAAAGAAAATGTTAGAATACTTACTTAATCTATACAAGGCCCTGACTTCCGTACACAGTACTACAAAGGAACCTAAAATGCAGTAAGCAGAAGGATCCGTTGTCAGTGCTCCAGCCCCTCCAGATGGAAACTGCTATGCATCTGTCTCTTTCTCCCAGGTGACCCGCTGCGATTCCACGCTCACTACATTGCTCAGTGCTGGGCTGCTGAAGACCCCATCCCACTTCAGGACCTGGTCTCTGCCGGCCGCCTGGGAACCAGCGTCAGAAAAACCCTGCTTCTCTGCTCCCCTCAGCCTGATGGGAAGGTGGTCTACACCTCCCTACAGTGGGCTAGCCTGCAGTAAGCTGCAGACTGAGGGGGGTGTGTGGCTATGTGTCCAAGAACCCTCCTAGATGGTCAACTCCTCCTTCTCACTCTCCCCATCTCCGCATGGAGGCTTGTGTTCTCCCGCCTTGCCTGATTGCAGAGTTTTGAACACTAAATACTTCAGTTTTTTTTTTTTCTGTTTTAAGGCGCTTACTAGCTGTGTTGTTTTATATTTCTGTCTCCAAACTGTGAGCTTGTTCAGAGTTGAGACTGCTCTTAGTTGGCTTTTCTGTTTTCTAAAGGGCAGTTCTCAATAAATTTGTTGAATAAATGTTCGCATTTTGAGTCCGTACAACAATGTTTGGAATGTGGAGCTTTTAATCCTATATTCAGATGAGAAAAGGAAAGGGGAAATGACTTGCCCAGGGTCACAAAACTTAATAACTACCAGGCCTGGGACATTATACTTGGTCTTTCTGATTCTGCCTCTGCATCCCACGAAGTTGTGCCTTGAAGATTTTTTTATTATGCTTATATATTATCTGCATACATATGTGTGTATGTGGGTACAAAGTGCCATGGAACATATGCAGAGAGCAGAGGACAATTTGTGAGAGCCTGTCCTCCTTTTTTCACCATTTGGGTCTCAGGGATTAAACTCAGGTTATCAGGCTTGCCATCAAGCACCTTTAACTGCTGAGCCATTTCACTGGTCTCCTTGAGATTTCTACAAGCCATTTCAGATGCATATAAAGGTCATAACTAAAAATGCTGCATGCGCTGCTTGTGGTGGTGTATACTAGTCTAGTAAGACATGCTGAAGAGGCAAAGGCAGAAGGATCATGAGTTTGAGATCCGCTTGGGCTACAGGTTTGGGGCTATAGAGATGGCTCAGTAGTTGACCTTTTCCAAGGACCTAAGTTCAGTTTCAAACACCCACATAGGACAGCTCACAAGTGCCTGTAACATCATTTTCAGGGAATTTGCTACCCTATTCTGTCCTCCAAAAGTAATTGTACTCAGGTGCATATACCCGCACATATATACACAATTAAAAACAGAGCTGGGTGTGGTGCTATATACATTTAATACCAGTACTCAGGAGAAGCAGGAGGATCTTTGAGTTAAAGGCTAGCCTAGTCTACATAGCAAGTTCCAGGCCAGGAAGGCCTGTCTCAGATACATAAGGGCTGGAGAGATGGTTAGGAATACTTGGTATTCTTGAAGAGAACCTGGGTATGGTTTACAGCATACACCAGGCTCACAACTCCAGTTTCTGGGCATCTAACCCCTTCTGGCCTTTGAAGTTACTAGGTGTACACGTGGGACAGGTGCATATATGCAGATAAGACACCTGAACACATTAAACCATTTTTAAAAGTTAAAAATTGGGACTGGAAAGATGACTCAGCAGTTAAGAGCTCTGCTGCTCTTCCAGAGGATCCAAGTTCAATTTCCAGCACCCAGATGGCAGCTCACAGCTGTAACTCCAGCTCCAGGGGATTTGTCACCCTCACACAAACATACAGGCAAAATACCAATGTGTGTAAAATAAAATAAGAATAAAAATCAAATATATGACACATAGTAAACTAGTCTACCTGTCCCCTCCTCTCTCTTCCCAGACTAAATGAGCAAGATCCTTGCCTTCTGAGTATATAAATGTAAATTGAAATAAAAATAAAGACTACCCAATCTAGGCCTAGTGTTACAGGTCTGTCCTCGTAGCTACTCGGACAGAGGCAGGGACATCATCCCTATGAGTCCGAGGCTAGCCTGTCTACATAATTCCAGGATAGCCAGGGCTAGCTACATAGACCCTATTACTCCTCAAAAATAAATAAAGGTGTGGTGGTGCACGCCTTTAATACCAGCACTTGGGAGGCAGAGGCAGGTAGATCCCTCTTGAGTTCCAGGCCTGTCTACATTGTCAGCTCCAGGGCAGCCAGGACTAAGTAGAAAGACTTGTGGGCAGGAGTACCAACTAAATGAATAAAATATGTGCAGGAAAATGGGTTGTAAACTCAGCACTTGGGAAATATAGGCAGGAGGATCTTGAATTCACAGTCACTTGATGGGAAACCCTGCCTCAAAAACAATAGAGACGTATACCAAGATGATGGGGATATTTTCTTGTCTAAGAGTTCCTCATTCTAGATATATCTAAGTTTGTGTCAAGCTCACAAAAACAAACCAGCACAGCATGCATACTTCAATATATGGCCCACACCTAAAATTCTAGCATTTGTAAAGCCAGGGCTGGGCATTGTCATGAGACTGAGTCATTGGTGGGGAACCAAGGCTGGCCTGAATTTCCCAAGAGTCTTTGCTAAAACAAAAAGTGACAACTTCAGTGCGTTATTCTATGCCTTTGCCCTAGAACTGGCAGCCTCGCCGGGCGGTGGTGGTGCACGCCTTTAATCCCAGCCCTCGGAAGGCAAAGGCAAGCGGATCTCTATGAGTTCGAGGCTAGCCTGGTCTACGAGAGCGAGTTCCAGGACAGGCTCCAAAGCTACAGAGAAACTCTGTCTCGAAAAAAACCAAAAAAAAAAAAAAAAGTGGCAGTTTCGTTAATGATTGGATTAAACAAGAACGTCCCAGTTTCAGCTATTCAGCCAGCCTAACCACCTCACTGGTAAGTCTGCCAAGCTCAGCGCCGCTCTGGCCCAACCTCTCTACTCTATTGTTTTCCCGCTTCTGATAGGCGAAGCACCGAGCGGTGCGTGGTGACGTCACGACAAGGCGACGTTACTATAAGATCGCGATTCTGCGGCAGCGTGTCTCTTTGTCGTGCTCGTGAGCTCCTAGGTGAGCTTCGGTCGTACTGTCTAGTTGGCTTTTGGGGGTAACGGAGTCATTTATAAGTTAACGTATACACTAAGGAAGAGGGGCGGGAAGAAGGTGGTCGGACATTATTACAGTACGGTGGTGGGACGATCTCAGTTCCAAATTTTCTAAGGCGGATCGCGCTAGGCCCGAGTTGGTGCGGGGCTGTGGTGTGCTAGCCGGGCATTGCTGCGCATGTTTCACGACATTTTTATTTCAAACATAACCCTTTGCGCAGGCGCGGCAGGCCTAGAGACGCCAACATGCCGGTTGCCAGAAGTTGGGTTTGTCGTAAGACCTATGTGACCCCCCGGAGACCCTTTGAGAAGTCGCGTCTCGACCAGGAACTGAAGCTCATCGGTGAGTGACCAAGGTGGAATTTCGGATTGGGGATGAGGGAAGAGTTGGGTAGTCATGAGGTCGATCTCCCACGTGCTCGTCCTGGGCGCCGTCGCCGCAGAGGATTGTGGTTTAGATTCGTCTTGTGTTCTAAAGTCACAAGTGTAGTATTAACCCATGGCTCTGGCTCTGTGGTTCCCTCTCAACCACGTGTAGGAGAATATGGGCTCCGGAACAAACGTGAGGTGTGGAGAGTCAAATTTACCCTGGCCAAGATCCGCAAGGCCGCCCGAGAGCTGCTAACGCTGGACGAAAAGGACCCACGGCGTCTTTTTGAAGGTGTGTATGGGGCCCATTTTAAAAAGAATGGGTGGTCGCATGCGGGGTTGTTGAGTTTCGGGGCTGTATTGTGGTCCTGGAAGGTATGACGCTGAACAAATTGGGCTAGTGGGAAATATTTGGCGCAAATTGGCCCGGAACTCAGATGCAGCCATGTGTGGCCTGTAAACTTGCAGAAATCTAGAAGTGTCGGGTTAGCCACCTCACTAGACTTGTAATTTTCAACACAGTTAAAACAGATTCATGTTTTGGAGTTAGTTACAGGAGAATGGGGGAGCTGCAGGAATATGAGGTTTTTTGTTTTGTTAAGCAGAAGTAAAAAATAGTCAAGGTAGCCTCCCAGGGATCTATTATCGTGAAACAACCTGGCTAGTTTAGGAAAGAAAAGCCCTGGAGTTTTGGTGTTGGCACTGCCTTGATTCAGAGCTAGACTTTTCCGTGTGGTGACTACCAGGAAGAGTTTATCTCTTGATTGACAGATTTCAGATTAGAAGTTGAACACTTTAATACCGGCTTGTGCCACCAGGAGGCTAGATGAGTTATTTTTTTTTTTTTTTAGAGCTCTGGGATAGTCAGCCTACCAAAAACCCAGAACATCTTAATGGTGGGGCGTGCTCGTATCTTAGCTTTCTCAGTGTGCACTTAGTTTCTCTCTTCATACTGAATGTTTTATGTTTGGGTGGTTTAACCGTAATAGTATATTCCATTCGGGGATTGTTTTGTATTTGTGTGTCTTAACTGGTATTTATATAAAACGTCGGAAATTGAGCCTGTATTTTAGGATGCTGGGTGCATTTTTTTTTTTTTGGTTTGGCTCTTTATACTTAGGTGACTGGACCCTCACGGTGTTTCAAGCTCATAAGAGAATAGTAGTCTGAAGAATAGATGGGGGTTGTTTCTTCTATATATCTTGTGGGTCTTGTGCTATGTAGTCCAAATTATTTTTTGTTCTCTACTTGCCTTAGCTGCCCAGGTACTGTGATTCTTGTGAAGTTAGCATATTTTCTTTCTTAAGTTGAAAATTAAAACGCCTGTCTTAGAGATGAAGGTTGAGTGAAAAGCTGTAAACGTGTGATATAATGCCTGCTGAAAGGGTGACCCAGTGGCACTATAAGTGTCAAGCCTGAAGCCCTAAGAAGAAAGGTTATCAATTAGGCACGTCCCTGTCATTCTTTTCTCCTGTGCTCTTTGCAAAAATGGGGTGAAGCTGTAGTAACTTGCCTCTTCTGGGGGCTCTGAGGTGAGGAAGTCAGGTCTTATTTGGGTTACACCTCCCCCCCAGGCAATGCTCTGCTGAGGCGACTTGTTCGCATTGGGGTGCTGGATGAGGGCAAGATGAAGCTGGATTACATCCTGGGCCTGAAGATTGAGGATTTCTTGGAGAGGCGGCTGCAGACCCAGGTCTTCAAGCTGGGTTTGGCTAAATCTATTCACCATGCCCGTGTGCTCATCCGCCAGCGTCATATCAGGTGAGCTGCAGCTGGGCCTGTAAGTCTTGCTTTGCCTTCCTTATCTGCAATGTTGGTTTCCTTTGCTAAGCTGCTGTCCCTATCTCCTATGTAGCCTTTGGAGCTGTCAAATCTGAGCTTACCCTGAGGGTTCAGAATGAAAGCTTTTGGGGGAATTGGGAACAGCCCCATAGCCCAGCGCAAGCGTCACTGCGGCTCAAGCCGTACACCTTGCGAAGGTCTCTGCCAGGCATGCAAGCAGCTGGACAGGTAATAGCTCTTGGTGCTCTCTTGGAGAGGATGGCGATGATGTTGGGGTGGCGGGAAAGGGTCATTGGAAGTTACTGTGTGAGTTCCAACACAGACCCTCATTGCTATATTTGTATTTGTTAGTTTGCGAGTTGGTAATCAACCTGTCTGAAGTGACAAGTTAGGGTGAGGGAAAATTGCGTACTCTTCTGTAAATGAGCACCAATCTGTGAGAGCTGTGTAGGACATAGGCTCAGATTCTCCCTCATCAACTTCATCTATGGGCAAAGAGACCTCTCAGAGAGGTGGTCTGAGCCTTAGTACCTAAAGCATTTGTGTAGGTTCTGGTTCCAAGGCTACCCATAGACTTCTGAGGTCAGAAGTGCCCATCAGCCTGCTGTCAAGGACAGGACCAAAAATTGATTGCCTCTCACCTTGTCCTCTTAATCTGTTCTTTCCCGTTCAGGGTCCGCAAGCAAGTGGTGAACATCCCGTCCTTCATTGTTCGTCTGGACTCTCAAAAGCACATTGATTTCTCGCTCCGGTCTCCTTATGGTGGTGGCCGACCAGGCCGAGTGAAGAGGAAGAATGCCAAGAAGGGCCAGGGTGGTGCAGGAGCTGGTGATGATGAGGAAGAGGATTAAGTTAATGTCTCCCTGGACTGGAGAATTGTCTAGTTTTCCAGTTGGCTAATAAAACAGAATTAACACTTGGTTTATTGGTGTGCCTCTGCTGTGAACACAGTCTCTGCAGTAGGAAGAAGCCCTGCTCGATGTAGCCCAGGCCACTGTACAACTTGTTTGACCAGATGCTTTATGTTAACCTTGGCTCTTATGTTAACCTTGGCTCTTACGTTAACCTTGGCTACAGTGGAAAGAAAAATGGCAACCCAGCCATCTGCAGCCGAATGAACTTCAGTGGAGTTGACTGGTGTAAACTTGCTAGGTGGCTTGTTTTGTGAATTGTTTCTCAAGATGTGGTTTTGGTTAGCAGGAAATAAGCCAGTGAGCCCTTTGCCTGGGTCAGCTTAAGAAATTTTCAGCTGAAGTTTTGTGTTTTTATGGTCAGGAGGGAGGCTGGCTTCCTCATTTTGTATTTTGCCTTCTGGGAAGCTTGAGTCAGATTAGAGGGTGCGGTTTCATCTCTGAGGAAGTGAGAACTGCTTGAAATTGAAAAGCAAGTGTCCAGGAAGGACACTTTTCTAATGTGTTTCAGTCCTTGAAAGGATTTCAGGTCAGTTAAATGGCTGGCTTCAATGCAGGAAAAGATCTAAAAGCATTATAAAGGCTGCAAGCAACAGACCCCTCCCTATCCAGAGGTCACAGCTGATGGTTAGGTCACTTGGGATAAAAGCTCAGCAGGAATTAATTTTGGGTTGATTGTCTGGGAACAGTCACCTTCCAGAAAACAGGCTCCTGCTGACAAGGTTATTCAGTGGCTTCCAGCCAGCAAGGGGTTTATCAAAGCTGAGAGTCAATGGCCACACACTATCAGGATCTCAGGATTCTGCTTAGGGTTTAGGTCTTAATCCCTTAGCTAAACTGCTAGTTAGCAGCCAGTGATCTTGAAATAGAGTACTTTGGGATGGGGGTAAGCTTGAGGACTTGGGTTTTTCTGTAAGAGACTGGTCTTTTGTTTCCTTTACTTTAGTGCTATAGTGGGATATCTGCCAGGGAGCAAGGCTGTTATATGTCTGGAATGACTGATAGGTGTAGTTAGAGGAGTATAGTGTTAGAAAGTAAAAGCTTCGGTGCTTTCAACAGAAAAGACTCCAGGCACCACCCCTGTTGCTGTACATTGAAGTGCTAGACTGTACATGGGAGCTGCCTTGGTGTAGGAGCCCATTGTTAACCTCTGTTCAAGGAGTTGATTTCATACAGAGGTTATTGTGAGGGAGAAGGCTGGGCTATGCTGTTGAGACCCCTTTATCTCTGAGCCCTTGTTGCAGGACAGGGTATAGAAACTTGCAACTAGAGAATAGGAAGGTTCCCCCAAGACCCTTGTGCAGATCAGAAGCAACTAGGCTTAGAGCATCAGTATGAGAATGCATGCAGCCCATCTACATTGCCTGTCCAGACCCCAATCTCTCTCCTTTCACTACTCCCCTACAAATGGTTGGTGGTGGGTTAGGTGTACAGTGGTGGTGGACAACAGGCTTGTACTTTGGTTTTAACTTCACACTAGGAATTTAGAAGTCTACCTCCAGCCCACCCTGGAGCCTCCCCAGAGAAACTGGAAAGATCTCCCATGTCCACTTAAGAGTTGAAGAGACACAGTTCATTGTTTGTTCAAAATAGCCTCAGTATGGAATTAAAAGTACATGAATTAAACCTTGCAAATAAGTCTAGCCAAGGAGGTGAAAGACTCCAGTGAACTTTGTTAAAATTGAACAAACATTCAAAGGTTAAGGTGGCTCAGTCAGCAAAACATCACTGCAAGCATAAGACCTGAGTTTGGGTTCCCCTGTACTCGTTAAAAGCTGGGTGTTTCAGGGTTTGTGTAAAGTTATCAAATCCCAGTGCTGGGGACTGTAGTCCACTAGTCACCCGGCCTACCCAAATTTACGGCTCTGCCAATTCCCCCCAAAAGTGGAGAACCTGTGGCTCCACAACACAACATGAAATTGACAACAGAAGATGGAAAGATTTTTCTCTGTGGGTCTGCAGTGTGAAAATGGCTATATGAACCAAAGCGATGTAGAGATTCAGCACAATCCCTGTGAATGTCCCCAATGACATCCTTCACAGAACTAGAAAATCCTAAAGTGCATTTGGTGATGAATGCTTCTCCCAATATCCTGAAGGCCAGTGACTGAGGACAGTCTGGTATATGAAATTCCAGGCCAGTTAGCTACATAAAACTCAAAAGACAGAGTCTAACCTAAGATACATATGAAAAAAACGAAATACCTCCAAGATGGAAACATTCTAAACAGTGATGGTGGTGGTATCAACACCCAACTTCAGATTATAAATCTAGAACCACAGCAACACAACCGGCATTGTCACTGGCACAAAAAAGGCAAAGAACAACAAACGGTCAGAAAAGGACCCGGAGCTGGGCAAGGCAGCCTAAGCCTGTGAGTCAGGTATTTAGGAGACTGGACTAGGATGATCAGAAGTTCAAGTTCACCAGCAATTAAATTGCAAGTTTGAGGTCTGCTGGGTTGTATCATGTCTGATGTACATTAAACAAGGAAAAGAAGGGATAACAGAACCAGGAAATAAACCTTCCAGGATAAGTCATTGAGTTCTGAATACCAGACAAGTGCTATATCCCAGCCCTTTAAACTTTATTTTGAGACTGGATCTTGTTAATTTGTCCAGAATGACCTTGAACTCACTCTGCAGCTAAAGTGGATTTTATATTTTATATCCTCCTGTGTCAGCCTCTGAAGTAGCTGTGATGTCAGGATTGTGCCGTCATGCCCAGCAAGTTTTAAATTTTAAGCTACTCACTTTAAAACAAAATTAAACCAATATTAAAAAAGTAAGAAAGAAAAGAAAAACCATCACCATCAGTGTGGTTGTGATGCTCTTAATTTCTTTTTTTTCTTTTTTTTTTTTTTTTTGCTGAACCTTATTTTTGTTTCTTTTTTGTTTTCACATCCCAATCTTCTCCTTTCTCCTCTTCTCCCAGTTCGTCACCCACAAACCCGAACCCCACCCATCCAGTCCTCCTTTGTTTCTATTCAGAAAATGGAGGACCTCCCTTGAATATCAGCCAGCCATGGTCTATCAGTGAGTCTAGGCATCTCCTCTTCTATTAATACTGGATGAGGCAATCCAGTAGGAGGAATGGGGTCCAAAAGCAGGCAAGAGTCAGAGTCAGCCCCTGCTCCCACTTTTAGAAGTCCCACGAGAAGATTAAGTTACACAACTGTAATGCATATGCAGGGGATCTAGGTCATTCCTGTTCAGGCTCCCTGGTTGCTGGATCATTAATTTTTTTTAAGGGGTCACGTGTAGGCTGATGTGAAAAAACTTTCTTCTGGGGACTGGAGAGATGGCTCAGGGGTTGAGAGCATTGCCTGCTCTTCCAAAGGTCCTGAGTTCAATTCCCAGCAACCACATGGTGGCTCACAACCATCTGTAATGAGGTGCCCTCTTCTGGCCTGCAGGCATACACGCAAACAGACAGAATATTGTATACGTAATAAATAAATATTTAAAAAAAAAACTTTCTTCCTAGGTTTTCTTAATCAGGTTTCCTTTGTCAGGTTTTGTTAATAATTATTTTCTGGCTTGGTAAACTACATTCGTTTATATTTCCTCTTTCTCTAATTTCATAATGTCTTTATTTCAAATGCACAGACATTTGGAAAAAAATCACTAACTTCCAGAAAGAATTTCCAAAGGGGAACTTTTCTAGTGACAGTGTGTTCAATGTGTGGGAAGTTACTCAGATTTTGTATTTAGTTTTGTTAGTCATTTTTTAAATGACACTTTTTCATTTGTTCTACATACTGCCAACAGTCTCCCCTCCCCCAAGCTTTGTAAGCAATAAAATAGCTTTCATTGACATCAAGGGATCTGTCCATTTCATGTACAGCTCCTAATATGTTGGTATGAAACTGTTCATAGTGTTCTGCTGTTAATACATTTTAACAAATGTAGCGAGGCTGGACAGATGGCTCTGTGGTTAAGAGCGTGCACTGCTCTTGCTGTGGACCTGAGTTTACTCCCAGCACCCACAGCATGTAGCTCACAAACGCCTATAACTCCGGCTTTATGCCCATACACACATGGCATAAAAGCACACAGATGCATATAAGTACACATAAATAAGACAAACCTTTAAAAAATAAAATTAATGTATGTTTGTACATGTCAGGAACGGAAACAGAAGAATAGCATGTTTGAGGCAACCCTGTTGGGATTACAGTCCTACCCCCACCATACCCAGCTTTCATTTGTGATTATTAGTTTATTTTCAAAAGTGTTTTATTTACTTCTTGGGTGTGGGGAGTATTTAGCTGGGGGCTTCACCTCAGCTCCTGGCATAAGCTCCCTCCCCTGTGAGTTGCCTCAGTCCAAACTCCACCGCCAAGAAATCCCACCAAACGGTGACCTCTCCCCAAGGAGGGTCAAGAAAAGCTGCCAAAGGGTAACCCCTCCCCAGGGAAGGTCAAAACCACTCCCCCCGGCTATTTAAACTGGCCCCTGCCCCCGCCCCCCCCCCCCCCGCCGAGAATGAACACGTGGTTTCCCGGTTCCTGTGGTCTCCCCTTCTCTCTATTCCCCTCTCCCTGAGTATTGCCATCCATTAAACCTGGGCATCTTTTAATTTGGTCTGATTTAGTCTGACTGGGATTATTTGCGTTGGTGGAGAGGTTTGTTGGCCAGGAAAAATACTTAACACGGAGGACACTAAAGACTTAGGTGGAGGTCAGAGAACAATTCATGGGGGGAGTTAGTTTTCTTACTCCCCTATTCCTGCTTTTTGAATTTAGGATATCAGGCTTGGGAAAGTACCTTTACTGGGTAAGCCATCTCACTGGCCCTATTTTATTGTTTATTCTTTGAGACAAGGTTTCTGTATGTTGCCCTGGCTACATAGAACTCACTATAGACCAGTTGGCCTTGTACTCAAAGAGGCCTGCCTGTTTCTACCTCCTCAGTGCTGAGATTGAAGGCGTGCACCACCACGCCTGGCCTATTTATTTATTTTAAAACAGTGCCACCTGTGTTCCAGGCTGGCGGCTAACTCCTCTACTATGTAGGTGAAGATGGCCTTGACTTCTTAATCTCTTGTTCACGCCTCCAAAGTGCTAGGATTTCAGGTGTGTACCTCTACCCTGGCCTTTGGTGGTTAATGTTGTTTGAACATCTCTCTGTAGCCCAGGCTGGCATGAAATTCACTAGGTATCCCAAGAAGACAACAAAACAAAGGCAATTCTCCTGCCTCAGCCTCCCAGGGGTTGGGATTATGGATCTGGGCAACTATGCCTGTACATTTTCTCATAGCACAGGTTTGATGAGAAATGTCATTAAAATTAGTACTCAGTGTAAAACCCTTCTGTTCTATTTCACTTCTCATTACACTTGATTATTAAGAAATCTATTTTATTTCCAGAATGTATGATGTTAGTTATAGCACAGTCAGGTTTGCAAGGGTTCCCAGAATGTCTGGAGGTCTCTGTGAGGACTCTTGGCAGGCGAAGGTCATTGCTCCTTGTCATCGGGAACAGAACCTGGTCGAGTGACTGCCAGGGCAGCATATACACTGGGCTCCTCCGTGGCTTCCCCTGACTGGGAGCGGGGAGGTACAGCTGTCCCCTGTCTGAGTGACCTGCTACACAGCTGGGCATAGACCACATCTTGGGGCTCCTCAGAATCAGCAGCCTGGAGTGGGAGAGAGAGGAGGGGAGGATATATGGTTCGCTTGGGGGATGCTGAAGGCCTGGAGGATGCTGAAGGCCTGGGGGATGCTGAAAGCCCGGGGGATGCTGAAGGCCTGGGAGATACTGAAGGCCTGGGGGATGCTGAAGGCCTGGGGATGCTGAAAGCCCGGGGGATGCTGAAGGCCTGGGGATGCTGAAGGCCTGGGGGATGCTGAAGGCCTGG